GGGAGTAAAATATTTCCAAACAGGAGGCAGTTTGGATTAAGCTCTGTGAAATGCAAGAGAAGGGCCTTTCTGGATAACCTTGGAGACAAACCGAAACTTGATTCAATGAAGGCCGAATGCAGAAAGGAATTGAAATGACTCTAATCGATGTCCAGCGGTCAATGAAAATGGATGTGGTAGCCAGAAACAGGCAGCCATATCAAGCCTCAAGTCAGCTCCTAAAGCCATTTCATCTCAATTTGATAACAAGGACAGCAAACCCCAAATGGAGGCTGCAGCTGATTCTCTTTCGTTGATGCTGAGATGGCATGTGTTAAGCCGGCATCACCATCTCTTCTTGTGGTTTGCTCCATGTGAAGCTTCTGGGTCCTCAATGCACTTCACAGCAGAAGCAGCGGGGGGTCGGTTCTCTGCAGTGGTAGCAGGACCCCTCATCCGCAGCCAGATGATGCTTTCAGCACGACAAGCCAATGCGGGAGATATATTGTAACATAAACGCTTGTTTGGGTCCAAAATAAAATCACAAAGAAAGAAAAGAAAATTACAAATCTGTAAAACTTTAATGGTTTTTTTTTTTGTTCTTTCGTTTTTCGGTTTTTTGTTTTTGGGGTTTGTTTTTTTTTTTTTTGGTCAAAGAAAATAAAAACTTGTTGTAAAGAATAACTTTTGCCTATAACTTATTTCTTCTTTAATCTTTGGGTTTTTTTTAAAGTGCTGTCCAAACTTGTGTTTAAAAAATAGTATATTTTATTTATTTGTGTGTCTGCTTGAAAATATCCCTGTCTTTCTCTTCAAATGAATACCCCAGGCAGCTTTAAAAAAAAAAAATTAAAAAAAGAAAATTGGTTCATTTGCAAACAAAACTTCCTCTTAGTTTATTCTTCACCTGATCACGGAGAGCCTTGATTGGCTGACTACCTTCCTGGAACAGGTTTTAAAAAGCTTTCACAATGTTGAGAGCCATTTCAGTGGTTTTTGAGATTATTTGCCAAGAGAATAAATGTTTGTTTGCTTTAAAACATTTCAAAAAGATGCAAAGTTCACCTGATATGAGAGAGGAAAGAGGGCACTGTCTATTACCTCTGGACAAGTGGGAAATCAGACTCAGGAAAATCAAAGAACTAGAGCACAGAGAAGGTATGTGTGTGTAAATAAACTTAAACAATGCAGGTGGAGGGCGGAGAGAGACAAAAAATATCTAGTTGATAATCTTCTGCTTGTCTACAGTACAATAATACTTTTATACAATATTCCAAAAAAGATTCTGTCCAGGAACTGCCTCACCAAATGCATTCATTAGCACATAAAATGAATAATTTAGTTCATCTTGGAACTTTATTTTTTTAAAAAAGCATTGTGTTATTTAAGTCCAGCTGCTGCTAGAGAAAAAAAAAAGTCTAAAGAAGATGTGATAAATGGTTCTGAATACATGAAGCAGAATGAGAGTGCTTTGGGCCTCATTAGCGGTAATTGAGGTGAGGGGGAAATGTAATGGGCTGAAATTACAGAAGAAAAAATGCAGATTAAAAGTACTCCACAAAAATGTAATTTAGCCCATAGTGTGTATCTTCAAAGATCAGTTGAATTTTCCTTTCCTTTCCAAAAGTAAGAACTTCATGTTCTTACCTTTAAAGGTTTTGTCCCGATTCAGTTGTTGCCCAAAATAATCTCACTCTGATCTGTGCTCCTCTAATTCTACCACTTTAAGGCTAGATGAATGCACACTTTCCATAATTCCTGTATGCAACTCCCAATCTTTGCTGCTCTGCTGGAAAACTGTGGGGAAGAGAAATGCAAGTTCTTCAGGAAAAGAGACAAATGCAAGAAAAATACAGAGTCCATCTTCATTCTATTCATGGTTTGCAAGTCAAACCATGCAAAAGTGAAAAGTGGACAGACACTTTGAAGAATCAAGAGGCTAACATATTTATTATAGCTTGCATTTTTTGTGGACCAAAGCCAACTTCATCAAATATATTTACTTAGATATTTGGCATACTTCCCAAAGGGTTTGCATAATTTACACAGTACAGTATTTTACAATAAACCAATTCTAAAATGTGTATGGCCTGGAAACATTGATACTAGGAATTGCTTGCAATTGTTGGACAGGCTTATGGTTGGAGAAGATTAGCCGGCATTGGATGAAAGTAAAAGGGATTGCCATTAAATCTTAATCACTAGCCTGCAGTCAAGTGGATCCAAAATTAACAGGTATCCAGCGTTCTTTTTTTTACAGAGGCACCATTTATTTATAACTACACTGGATATATCAGAATTCATCAGAGATACTATTACATAAGAGATGGTGAGAGTAGAAATAGACTAACAGTGTCAATTAACTATTATTTCTTTAAGGGGCTCCTCCTCATGTTATTCTATTGGTTTACTCTTCCCCCAACACAACCTTACATCAAAATTTTAGTCATGATTGGAACTCTTTTTCATATTAAAAGAGAGTAGAAATCATTAGCAAGTGAGGCTAAGATAGTAGTTCTATAAATGAATAAGTACTTTCCATTTAATGGATTTTCCTTGCATCAAATACTTTGTTTGAAATCTCACACAAGCTGATGAGTCTATATCATCATCTCATTAGGGTAGATGGAAGAATGCAAATTATATTGACAACAATGGAAATGTGAATAATTCTCCCTAATAAGAGTTCTGAAAAAGGAGGAAATATATTGGGGAGGGAGGAGGCTGTAGAACCAATACAAGCTCTACTCCTTCAGAGGAAAAGTATAATGAACAAAATGATCTACAGAGATAAGGAAAATAAACTACGACTAGTAGTAGCAACCAGACTACAATGTATTCCTGACCAATCTGTTTAAGAGCCCAAATAAAATGCCTGACTTTGAGACAGGGCTTAAAAAGGATTTGAGGCTTCTGTAGTCCCACAGAAAACCAACCATGTCATTGAGATAATGGCAGGACTTGGAGTTTTGCAAGGGTCATCTGTGCAAAGATGGATTTGACAGCATCAACATTTTCCTGTCTCTCTCCCAACAGTAGTTAAGATATCCCCTCCAGTTTTACATCACTCCCTAGAACCTGAGGCGGCTGCAGCAGCAGCAGAGAATCCCCCCCCCCCTCCATTTCTGGAAAAATGCAAGGGAGCTGCAGTTATTTCCACACACACATGAATGGGCCACTTGATACAGCTAGCCTTTATTTACTCAAGTTCTCCAGATTAGAAGTCTGATGAATGAACTCTTGATTAATCATTTATTCATATTCTGGCACAAGCAGAGGAAAGCCACATCATCTCTATTTGCAACTGGGATACAGTGAATGACAAGTTCCTTTTCCTGAAAGAAGTACGTTTTAACTCTGAGGTGTATGAAGCAAAAGCTCGTATTTCTGTGAACTATTTTGTAGGATCTTCCTCCTGCTGAAACCAAGTAGCTAATTAACTTAAAAGCTTAAGATATATTTGAACCACTAGATTAGTGCCAAGCAATTTATTTGGTACCCAGCCTACACAATATAGTAAACAACCAGACAACCCGTGACCCGTTGGGTCATCATTTCAGAGAGATTTCCTTACCTAAAGAGAGAAACAGAATGACCAAGGGCAAAAAAAGCAGTGGGAATGTGAGCGACTTATGACTTGCTGCCGGCTTCCCCACTGACTTTGCTTGTGGGAAGCTGGCAGGGAGCATCAGAAATCTTCCTTCCTTCCTTCCTTCCTTCCTTCCCACATATAATATAGGCTTGCACTGTTTGCCCTCCCCTCATGACCCTCAGGAGAATCCCGGTGAAGCCTCCTTCTCCTCGGCTGACCCACGGAACTGCCTGCCACTTTGCTGGGGGGAGGTGGAACAAAAGGAGCCACGGACTGTGAGGAAAACTGCCCCCTGCCCCCCATTCTTGCAAGTCTCAAGGGCCCCCACCCTCAAGGGAGGAAGAGGGCTGCCATTTTCTAATAGGACTAAGCTTGCAACCAATATAGTTTTGAGTAAGCTGGATTTCACTCCCCTTACTCCTCTGTTTTCAGCTGCGCCTTCTGAACAAACTTTTCAAAATTACTGTAAGGCTACAGTCCCTTGCTATTGTTAAACAATTGGGACTCACAAATTCCTGTTGATTTACTCCAGCTGTATCAGTAGATCAAAATCAATCATATATGACATTGCTGCTTATTTAAATTAGCAGTGACTCTCAGACTTCCAGGGAATGCAGTGGCCTGGTATGTTTAAAAATAAAGCTGGTTTTCATTTGTGATATATGGGCTTCAACTTAAATGATAAAAGTGTATTTTGGACTAAAAATGTGTTTTTAAGAGGTAGCTAGTAACCCCCTTCTCAAGTTGCCCACTAAAGAAACCTCCTGGCTTCTAAAAGAATTATTTTGTTTTTGTTTTTCAAAGTTACCTCAACTCTTTTTTGAGTTAATTCATGTTCTATGACTGAGATGACAAAATGTTCACAACTGGCAAGATTATTTTTTGAGGAAATATTTGTTGCATCCAGGTAAATGCTCCTGAACAAATGTATTATCACTCTTATTTAATTCATATAGTTAGGATGACAGGTAACCAAAACATGAAAGGTTTTATGATATGTCCCTTCTATACATGTACATGAAAGGCAGAGTTAATGTTACAATTCACATTTTGTCACCTGCGCTCCCCCAGCCCTCTCCACCACCACTGGGGCAGAGGTCAAACCTCCAGCCCTTCTGTTTATCAGTTTTTTAACCGACGATGCTAGAGACTAAATTTTAGATTTGCTTGATATAGAATATCTGCTACTGAGGCCTGGTTCCTTTATCCATGGAATGCATTCTAGCTCAGCAAACATTCTCAAGGTATGATGATATATCTTGATCTTATGTACATATAGAAGAAATCCAGACTCACAGCAAACAGCTCAACTTCCATGGCCAAGGTCGTGCGAGGGGATCTTGTAACTGCAGTCTTTGCCTACACATCGACTACATGTTGCCCTTCCTTTATTCATGCTTTGTACAAGAGTCTATGCAGAACATTTATATAATTTAAAATGTCATTCTACAACAATGCCAGAATGTGGGTAGCCCAGCAAGGTCTATGGCTAATAAGCACTACTGTGGGGGGAAGAGATTTCAGTCTTCCACGTACATGTTCTCCACTGATGGTGGGGTCAGGTAAGCTCATGGATGACTTGATCCCAGGTAGTAGTTTAGCCCTTAGGCGATGTTCATCGCTGAGTCACTGAAACATCAAGGAAAGTTGTCAACATCCAGCTTTATTTTAATTAGTGCAGTAGACTGCACTGTTTCTGTTGGCAGAGGAGCTGTTTTATTCCTTTCATTTTTAAGTCCTTGTGTTTAGCTGTCTTTTTGTGGAGGTGTGTAATTTTATAATTGGATTCTGTCCTTGAACCCTCTTTTCTGGATGAGAGAACTTTAAAAAAAAGTACAGGCCACCACAGGCTAGGCTTCCAACATGGTACTCCCTAATCTACACTTCAGAGAAGATAGTATATATAGGAAGTGTTGTTTCTTATCGAAACACTGCACCTTTCAGCCTCATTCCAGGTCACTGCCAAGAAGTTGGAACTTCTTTTCAATCCACAAGAAGCTGTACTTCTGAAGCATATTTAATAAGATAGCACATCCCTAAACAGGGATTAAAATGTACTTCAGCAAGGGTTATATTACTTCTTGATTTGAAATGAGGGCCACAACACAAGAGAGAAAGCAAATCAATTTGGAACTATACATTTAAAAATGAATTTTATCTCAACGTAAATAGATGCAAGGATAAAATGTAAATCAAGCAGGTATACAATGCTTGAACGTATTCTGATACCGAAAGCATTACTGCATGTATTACACAATATGAAATCTCTTTAATCTATGATGTGTACTGTGTTCACATAAATGTGTGGGTATGAGCAGCACCTGTTCGGAATATCTTAAAGGAGCTGCCTTTTTTCTTGGATTTGCACAACTGCCCACTGCCACTGACCATTTGGTTTAAGGTGTTTCAGACAGGCGTTACATGTGTTCCCACATATGCACCAAGCCACATTTTGTCTTTCAAATCTGAATCTTTGCACAGCACATACACATATAATATATACATGAACACAAAAGCACATACAATATGCCTGCATTCCAAATTTAAGTCTTCATGAGAAGAGATGTTGTTGTTGTTGTTGTTGTCGTTGGTCACATAGCCAGATGTTTAGACTGGATTTGGCATTTTTATCCACCTATCGAGTCTTATTATTATTATCATCCAAATTAATATCACAGTTGATTTGACTGAGTATTGACTCCAATGTTTTGTATCCTAGCCAAGGACCTAAGAGTCATGGAGTTATCACCATAAAATGCAGGTTATTCCAGGTATGGTAGCCTTTTGCAAAATCAGTAGTGTTAAGTCCAGTAAGTCTAAAATTTCTAAATATTTGGTGAATCCTTTTGGTATTGCACTGAGCTTCAGTTACAATCAGTATGAGAAAATCATTTTTCCTCCATAATATTTCAACCTCAATTTGTAAGGGCTGCTGTTTTCATTGTTGTTATTAATATTATTATCCATGTGCCAGAGCACATGTCATACTATGAGTTAATGCAACCTTCCCCAACCTGGTTTCCTCCAACAGTGTTGGAATTCAAGTCCTATAACCACCAGCCAGCACAGGGATCAAGTGGCACTAAAGAAAAGGTTACCTAATCTTAACAGTGGAGGAGACTATAGTAAACAGATGGAGAAGTGTACAAGAGGAGGGATAGAAAATCAGGTCATGGAATGAATGGCTGAATCAAAAGGAAAGGAGAAGTCGATTTCAGAGCCAGCACTCATTTGGAAGAGTGACAAGCTTTCTAAGGAAAGAACTGAAAGGAAAGAAGAACCATCAGTTTTTAGTACAGTCCCTATGGACTACCATAAAGCAATGAATTTATGTATCACTTTTATATCCCACAACAGTCAAACAACTCTTGACATTTGCTATATCCATGCATTTCTGCCAGCATCATTTGACCTGCTTTACATTGTCCAAACTGAAGCAGACCTGCTTGAAGTCAGTCCATTTTTAGTTGATAATATGCTTTGACTGATTCATAGAAGCATGCTATATATCAAGAGGGCATCTAATTTAACCATCAGAATCATCATCTGAACCTGGATCTAAGAGCCAAAGTACATATTCCATGGGAGATTCAAGATAGAATTCAATAATGTTTTCCTTACCACTACAAGGAAGTTGAGAATGGGTCATTGGATAGGACTCAATATGCTAGGGAATGGTGCTTGTATGTCATCCTGGTTTGAATGGGACCTAGGCATGAAGAGACCCAGAATCAAATTCCATCAGACAACAAGCTCTTCTTTGTTGAGCCAGAGAAGTGAGAAAACATATAACTTTTTGTCTGAACTCCTTGAAACAGAAATAACATAGTGTGCCATTATGTACAATCAAACTTTGATCCTGCATGTTTTCTCCAGTCTAAATTGCCCTGATGCTGCACTGAGAAAGGAAGACAGACTTGTTCTCACTGGGGCTAATCATAGGGCTGTTTTGGGAGTGATTTAAATTGGGGAAACATGAAAGCAGTGAGAAGCCAGATATAAAACTAAGTGTGCTGCTCCTTCTCTCTCAGCCTTTTTTCTCTCCCCATCTTCATCTTGCAACTATCAAAATTCACAAATACACATACCATGTTTTCCCTCCTGCCTTCCTAATGTCCTATCAAAGACTGGAAACCATAGTGGTGCAAATGCTTAATTGCTCTAGTGAAGCCCTCTGACGATAGAGAATGGGTCAACAACCTTTTCTGCCCTACAGGCCTCATCAGTTGATGGCCTGGGTTTTGAGAGCCACAGTCCCATATACCCATCCCAGACATTCCTGACACAAACTTTCAGCCCACTCTCTGTCCCCATTTCTCCTAAGGAATCTGAGCAGGATGATAGGAAGGGAGGCAGAAGCAGGGAGTGTAGAATTAAATCTGCTTACAAAGGCATGCCTATGTCAACAATCTCCTTTTTCTTTGTCTAGCTACAAGATTACTTTTTTTTCCTAAATTAGCATGAAAAGAAAGCCCTAATTATTTCTGAATCTCACAGAGCATTCTTATGCACTTTGACTATAGTCAAATCCCATTATAGTCAAAGGAATTAATCTGCTAGTTCCTTGATTTAACCCCATTGACCCCAATCTCCCATTTTAATGGGAAAACCTCCACATATACATAAAGGCATGAAATGAAATGCAGCCCTTAATAACAAAAAAAGTGTCCTTATGTGCCTTAAGGATTGGACAGGAAGAAAGAGGTGATGATCACACTTTGCAGGCTCAAAATAAAATAATAGCAGGACTAGTCAGCAGTCTGCTGAGTCAATAAAAAACAGGTAGGAAGAAACTGCTTACCTGTGTGCCAAGGTTAACCACGATGGAAGAAGCAAGAATTTCTCTGTCTGAAACCATGGAGAGTTGTTTTGATCATGGGAGACAAGTGGCATGAGGTTCATAGATATCCTGATAATTACAATAAAGCATCAAAGGTCAAGCTGCACGTGGTTAACTTTGATTATTTATTTGCCTTGCACAAATAGGGACTTTTTGCTCACCCATTCACTTTGGCTGAAATCTTGATTTGGATTAGGAGAGGGGGCTTGTGAGATGGAAAAGACCATACAACAATGGAGCTGCGTCAAGCAGGAGGGAAGCACTGACTGGCATACAAAAGGGCTGCATTTTGGGCATGTCTTGTTCAACTTATTTATAAAAGACCTGGTTGGAAGGGAAGAAAATGCCATTATCAAGTTTGAAGTGACACAAACATGGGAGGGGGGAGATAGTAAACACCTTAGAGAATAGTATCAAGATTCAAGAGGATCTCAACCCAACAGAAAACTGGGCAAAATGAATTTTAAGAGGGACAAATGCAAAGTCCTACATTTGGGTAGAAAAATCAAAGGCATGGGTAAAGGATGGGAGGACCTGTACTGGGCAGCATAATAGCTGTCTTCAAGTAACTGAAGAGCTTTTATGTAGACGACAGAGCAGAATTGTTTAGAATTGTTCCAGAAGAAGGGCAAGGGACAATAGGTCTAAACCCAAGGAAGCAAATTTCAATTGAATATCATGAAAAAAATTCCTAATGGTAAGAGATGTTCAACAATGTATTTAAGCAGAGCCTGGATGGCCATCTGTCAGAGAGGCTGTAGTAGTGGATTCCTGCCCTGGGTGAACTGAGGCCAGACTAGGTGATCTCCAGGGCCATTCCAACCCATACACTCTATAATATACTTGCCCTAAAGTAGAAGCATAAGAAAGTATAGGTTGCAGGAGAAAAAAAGGGGTAAAAACATTTCCTGCGTGCTCCAACTGGTGTGAGAGAGATAGAGATATATTGAAGTCAGTAATTAAAATTATGTGTGTTGTTTGTCGCTTGTTTTAGAGTTATATGTGAAGGAATATTGCTAGAAGGGGAAGCCCCTGGAAAGAGAAAAAAGATGGCATGCAAAAGTGTTAAAGAAAGAAAAGGACAGCAGGAAGGAGGAGGCAATATCAATTTACAGAAAAAGTAGGTGTCATGCTTGAGATCCACAAAACTTTTCAGCTATTTAGGAAAAGCTATGAGTAACATGGATACATTCGCATAAACAAGTGCTTGGAAAAATTCCTAAGAAAAATATCTAAAAGGCAACTTTGACTGTGAACGTGTCACTTACTGTATTTTAGTACATTCTGATCTGTGCAGTACAATTCACTACACATTTTCAAAGAAATAAATCCCATGGTGTTTTTTGTGCATACTACCCCCTAGTACTTACCAGTTCAACAGACCCGAGCTGACAGGAAAAAAAGTGTTTTTCGCTAAAGATTTAGACTGGTCCGAAAAGTATCTCTCTTTTTGAAAAGGGAGTTTTGGTGTTCAGTGGGGATGAACTGATTTATTTCTTCAGAAGGAGGGCAATGGTTAACTGGAACCGTGGGTTCCTTGCTTGACAGTGGCTGTAACAGTGCAGTGATGACAGGTGCTTAAAATATGCTAGTATATCTATCTGCTCAGATAGACATCTACAGAAGCCTTCCCCAAGCTCTGCTACTCTCTGGATGGTTTGGACTGTAACTCTCATCATCCCTGCCCATCAGGGAGCCTGGCTGGAGGAAGCTGATTTACACATCTCTAATTGCAGCTCAAGTGCAGTTTATCAAGTGCAGTTCTACACACAATATACCCCAGTCTTCCCCCTAAAAGCAAAAACCAGAAATGCTTTGGTCACACCTATTCCTGGGGTCTCAAGGGCAAAAGGCAGGTCTCCAAATTAAAGCACCCATCAATTTCTATTCCACCTCCACTTGAACTTATTGAAAGAAATTCAACCAATCCACCAACTCCCTCTGTCATTGTCTCCCTTGCTGAACTGCTCTTCCTGTTAGAAATTTCTCCTACACTCAACTGAAATCTGCCTTTCTGCCACTTAAGACCATTATTCTGTGTCCTGCCTTCTGGGCCAACATGGTTTTCTTTGGTGTGATACCTGGTCAGGTACTTGAACAGGGCTAGCATATCTGTCATCTTTTCTCATGCCTAAACGCATCTAAGTCCCTCAGTCTCTCAAAGGCCTTCCCTAAAGCACTACCCATTCCTTCTTGCGTCAGGACAAAACAGCGCTAGCGTAAAATTTGCTGTCCCTACTTCCAATTCTTATTTTGCCTCTATAGCATCTGACTCAACTTACTGCCAGGCAGTATGGTCTTGAATGGTAAGTGTGCCATTCATCATAGGCAAAGTGACTGATTTTCTCTTCTGATTTTGCTGCCCCCCCCCTTTTCTTTAGCATGT